CAAATGACCAGACCACACATATCCCAGGCTAGTCTCAAGCTCACTACAGTCAAGGATGTGTCTTGACAGGATGATCCTCCTGCCTCCACCTCCCGAGTTCTGAATTACATGGTATGCACCACCAAGCTTAGTTTATGAGGGTTGAACTCAGCGCTCTGTGCATGCTAGGCACGTGCTCTACCCACTGAGCCAAATCCCAGCCCTCTAGGTAGGTTCGGAAACTCAAACTGGAAGGACTTGTAGACAGCTTATTTTCTATCTCTGAATATATGTTTGTCACTAAGAGTTCCTCAGCAGTGACTGTTCCAGGTGTCCAGAGTGGAACAGCCAGTGAGTGGTGGTGGTGGTGGTGGGGCTTCTTCTATAGACTCAGGGGAGATAGACACAGACCTAAATCTGAATAGAATTATCTCGAGGCCATTGATGAACTGTGACAAACATAGCCGCCACGTAAATTTCTTTTCTTGTGACCATGTTGGCTCATGTTTCTGAGGGCTCAGTGTTTGTCACTTAGCCCCATGCAGGTAAGCAGAATATCATGGCAGCAGGCTTGTGTGAGGAGGGACTGCTGCTCACACCCTGCCAGACAGAAAGCCTAGAGAAAATATACAAGCAGGGTCTGGGAGCAGGACATGCCCGCTAGTGGCCTACTTCCTCTAACCAGGCCCCACTTCTCAGCCAACAATGCTCTCAGATTATTAATCCATTCAGCAATTAGCGTCAACCAATCAGAGGCCTCAGAATCTGTCTTGGGAAATGCCTCCCAGACACACCCAGAAGTGTTCGCCACTAATCTTAGGCATCTCTTAGTAATACCACATTGAAAATTGTGATGGATCATTCTAATCAGCACCCAGATAGCACAGGGAAGGGAGGCTAGAGTCTTGTGGTTATGTGAGGAAACAGCATTCCACATAAGAGGAACAAGACAAGAAAAGAGATGAAGTCACAGTAACAAAGAGAGCACAGTGTGGGGAGGGGAGGAGACAGAAGACAGAGGCTCTGGAAGATGTGATGCTCCAGCAGAACAGAGACAGGGTCTCCTCATTCCGATCTCAAAGGGCTCGCCTCAGATGCCATGTAGAGAATGGACTCTTGAAATGTGACCCAACCAGCTAAGCTGGAGGATGGAGACCGGCTACCATCCCACTGTGCTCCTGAACAGGAATCCTCACAGACTGAGGGTTGGAATAAGGGTTGGGAGCAGAGCTACACCAATCTTGTAAGGATGCTCGCCTCTTCCCCTGAATGGGAAGTGAGACAAGCCCAACCTCACAGCATCCTATTGATCCTGGCCCCTAAATTGGAAGAGAAACAAGACCAAAGAAAGAGAATCTGTGCTAGTAAGGAATGGCGGGAGAGTCTCTCATTGAGACGGGGCTGGAAAAGCAGCCAATGGACAGAGGCATGCTAAACAAGGCACTGTCTAGGAATGCTCGCTGTCAGAACACAGCGTCCTGGGCAGCACAGAACACTGGGGCCTTGGTGCCACAAGCAGCAGCATTCACAGTACAGGGAGGCGGCTTCTGTGTGACTGAATACAGCTTGTCCTGGGGACAGGGAATTATGTTGATCTCTTTCCAGCCCCTGACCTGACAGAGTCCTTTGGGATAACAGTGACTTTATGAAATGACCCTAAACACAACACTGGGAGAGAGGATGGTGCATTAAGTGGAGTGCTCTCCCCGCTACAGAGGGAAATCTATAAGCTCATTGTTATTCTTACGTCATCGGTGCAGAGGGCACAAAGAGATCATTCACCTTAGAGAAGTCCAGGTAATGGCCTCACTTTGGTCAGGACCTTGCTCAGTCTCACTTCTACTTCCCAGAGAAACAAAATCCCCGGACATTGGTGCGCCCACACTGTGGCCATGCTGGCTAGGTCTGCTCCCCATCAACTGGGCAGGGGACTGTTACACACAGAGGGACAGGTGGCTTGGTTGCCAGGAGATGAGGCGTTCCGGGACCCAGTTTCCTCTATGGGAGTGATACTAACCTCCCCCTACACACACCAAGCTGTACTGAATGAAAGCTCACGTGAAAAAATTATGAGGAGGGTGGGGAGATTTCTGTCCCCTGAAGATGCTAAGTCATAAGGCCCAGCACCTGTGAATCTGAACTGAAGTCAAGGTCAGGTAAAGCCTGCGAGTGAGTGCTGCTGACCCAGTGGCTGCTGTCCCTATAAAGAGGGAAATCTGGGTATCTGGCGCTCACTGGCAGCCATGGGGAAGGCTGATATGGGAGATCAGGATGACCCAGATGACAAGGGCCTACAGAAGTGGTCTTAAGCCAGGAAGAGAAGAGAGTCTTACTTTGAGGTAGAGATGTGCCTATTCTATGCCAGGCTCAGCCACAAACCCACTACAGTGAACTGGTATTTACTCATGAATGTATCTGAGGTTACACACAGCCAGTAAGGAGGGTTACAGGTTCTATTGGCATCGTCTGGTATTGGGATTGCCTCTGCTTCTTGTACCACCTACAAGAGCTACAGAGGTCCAAAGCTCATCCATTCTTGAATCCAGAGAAGACCTTTCTCCTTCTAGATGAGATCATTCAGGAGGTCCTAGAAGAAAAGTTGGTCACTGAAGAAGAAAAGAGAGAGATGAAGGATATGGACCCCTCACGATGGGGCTATGTTTTGTTTCATCTTCAGGGATTTGGGAGAAAACATTAGAAATATACTTCAAAGACAGAGAACTCCTCAGACAAGGTACAAGGAAGGGGTGGACTAGGAGAAGGACAGCAAGGTCAGACGAAGACCTGACTGCCCACAGCAATAACTCCAGTCTCAACACCGCCAAATGACCCCAGGTGGGCATAGGAGATGCCAATGCTTCCACCCTTGGTGACTGTGACCATCCAACTGTGGTGTTTTCAGTAATCCGGCCGTGTCATCGGACAATCAGAACCCTGCGAGACATGGAAGACCAGGGTGCCCCCTGCTTAGTTGACGACACTCCTGAACCTGCCACCTAACTGGGAATGTGCTGTTGTGCATGTGAGTACAGCATGCAGGGCGTCTACGTGATTCTACAGTGTTCAGCAGACAGGAAGGGAGCCCCATAGTCATCCACAGACATAGTCCCTACCCCAACCCTGGGCAACCAGAGAGGCTTCCTGTCCTATGGTTTAGCTGGATCTAAATGGTCTTACCTGGTGTTAGGTTTCTCTGCTCTGCCTATCTGGTAGCCTGTCTGTGGCTCAGTTCTTGTAGCTGAATCATACTCCGCCCGGTCTCTTTCATACCCAGAATCTCCTCTCCTGAGAACCCTGGGGATGCTCCCCACAGACACTCCAGGGATAAGCACCCCAGGCACAACTGGTTACTTCCCTGTCATTTTTAGTGCGTCTGTATCTCAGACTTCTTAATGTATCAAAGGTAATTCTATTCTCTTTATAGAAAAGATTAGAAAAAATATAATTTGTTCAGAAATGGACCTAGCAGTCGGTGTGAGAACATATTACATGGGAATCTTTACTAGGAGCTTCAGGCTCTTCCAGGATTCGAAGAGGCGGGAATGATTTAACATGCCTGTGTTGTTGATTCTTTTCTGCAAAGCAGCCTAGTTACCTGGTGTATAATGGGGTTGTGAGTGGGGAGACAGGAAAACCAAGAGGTAATTATTAGCTTGAAGCCTCCAGGTGGTGGTGACACCTCCATGTTCTCGTGTGGCTTTGACATCCTACTCATGAGCCCCTGTTTGATCCTCATAAAGCCAACAGGATGGCATGTGTTCATACAGAGGGCTCTCTCTCTTTTTCCTCTCTCTCTTTTTGTCTCTGTCTCTCACTCCCCACCTCCCCCACACGGAAAGTGAGGAGGGAAGGAAAGAGGGAGAGACAGAGACAGAACTGCTCCGTGTCCAGAACGGACTAAGGAGAGGTGGCCTGTGGCAGCGTAACACTTCTCTGGATTGGGTCTAAGGCCGGAGATCGGAAGCATCCCTGCTCCCACCAGACCCTGTGAAAAGCTTCCCCAGGGCTCCCGCTGGAGTCTGGGTTTTAGAAAACAGTGCGGTGTTGGGCTCTTACCTAGTATGCTACCCACATCATTAGGAACTGTGCACCACTGGAAAGGTATTGGGGAAGTGGAAGAACCAAAATGTTTGCCTACTCCGTTGGTATTAAACACACACATAGCACACACATGCACACAGGCATGGGTGCACACATGGGCACCCCTGCAGGTGTGCATGAGCATGCACATTTCTAGGTGTGTGCCTTTGCCAGACCCGGAATCACGATTTGTCCCGCCAGCCTCAAGCACGTTGGGAAATACTTTATTCACCTCATCTGTGCTAGCCTGTGCAATACTCCAAAAGAACTCGGAATAACAGTGATCTGGATTTGCCGGTTCTGGGATGTCAAATAGTCACAAATGATATAGCCACCTCATCACGAAGACCCCGGATAAATGTGATCTAGGTGATTCTGAAGTTGACAGGAAAGCCAGGGAAGAATTCATAGTGCCAGACTCACTCTGCCCACATAGCAACAAACTTGCTGAAGTTGACTGGTCATTGCAATGGCTGTTAAATACAGGGCACTTCTCCCATGAGTGTGAGCCGGGCTATTTCACAGGCGAAGGGTTTTCTTTCCTTGTTTCTTATTTCTGTGACTGTTAATCCCTGAAACTGATGTGGCTGAAATTGCTGACATCCAACTACGCTTGACCAAAAATGAGGGCTAACGTGAGATGACAACGACAACAATCGTGTGTGTGTGTGTGTGTGTGTGTGTGTGTGTGTGTGTGTGTGCAGCTGTGAAACTGTAACAACCATTTAGGAAGGTAATCACAATTAGCCCATAAGGGACCACACTGCTTAATGAAGCCATTCGCTGAAGACCATTTTGAGAGAGAGAAAATGAAAGACAACCCTGTGCACATTACCTGTTATGACCTTGACTTGCAGGATTCCCATGCACTCTGTAGAGGCAGGCAGAGCCTTGTTCATCTGCAGGGTAAGGGACCCGACTGTGAGGATCTGGGGCTCTGCTTTTACCAGGACCCTTTCTGTGATGTGTGTCTGCTTCAGGCAAAAGGTCACCCTGAAGAAAAGCAGGGTTTGTGGAGAGGGACTTGGGAGAAATTGAGCCCTAGGTGAAAGGTGCCTGTGGAGCCCTAGACTCAAAGGTCTGGTTGCATCTTTGTGCCGGCCATCGAGAGGACTGCATGCAGGTGGTAATCACCCTGCAGACTCAAAAGAACAGTGTGTTCTCCTCTGTCACTCAATGGAGTCTGCATGCGATTTTACAGAACATTGACACAAAGAGACTGAGCAACTGTGCCTGTGGGTGTGGTGGAGCTGCCTCCCAAGGGACAGCAGAGAGGGACAGTTCGATTTGCAAAACAAAATAAACAAATAACCAAAAAACCACTTCAAAGAGGAAACTTTGGGCTAGGGGATGTGGCTCAGTCGTAAAGCACTTGCCTAGCTTGTAGGAGGCTCCCGGTCTCATGCCCAACACAGCAAAGGGCAACCACAGACAAAGGAAGCCCCTCAGTGAGTAAATCACCACTGGCAGCCCCAGCTACTCGGCATTCTAAGACATGAGGGAGGACTCACCCTATCTCCTTTCTGAAGGGTAGAGGTTTGCAACCCGAGGGGAAAGCTAGCTAGCATCAGGGCCATGCCCCTCCTAGAAATTGTCTCCCTTTGCCTTTCCTGTCTTCAGCACTCCTTGGAGGAGTGCTACTTACTGGCTTGTTCTTCCTGACCCGCTCAGCCCACTCTCTTAAACACCTTGAGAGCATCTGCCCAGTGGTGGCACCGTCCGCAGTGGGCTAGGCCCCTCCCACATCAGTCATCAATCAAGAAAATACCCCACAGGCAGATTTGACGGAAGCAGGTTTTCAGTTGAGGTTTCCTCTCTTCCCAGGCTGTCGAGTTGATAAACGAGATTAGCCATCATACCATTTGAGAGGACATGCTCCCAGGCTCTGAGCATCTTTTGCAGGTAGAGACAGGCATTAGTCAACCCAATTTGGTACCTTTCTTCCCAGAATACTCAAAATTGGTTTCTGTTACTTGCCAGCCAGCTGCTGTACACTTCTACTGGGTCTCTGCGATACTAAATAAAGAAAACGTGTTCTTTATTGCTATTGGAAGCAAGGAAGATGGTCACATGTAAGTCAAAAGTCAAGCACTCTTAGGACTCTGTTCCCAAGAATGTTCTTCTGATGTCATTCCTAAGGACGGTCCCACACTGCATCTAACAGGAGCGGCCCAACGCTCACCTCACGAACATGCTTAAGCAGCACCTAGTACCAACGGGACGGAGACTGTCCCTTGACTTGGTGTGTCTGGTTCTTTGGCAGGACACCGAACTCCTGAACACAGCCATCCTCACGGGGAAGACGGTGGCCATGCCTGTCAGGGTGGTGTCGGTGGAGGAGAACAGCACCGTGAGGGACATCTCAGAGCTGGTGGAGTGCAAGGCCATGGATGAGGAGGTCATCAAGGTACGTGGGCCTGCCGGGGATCTGTTCCAGCCTTTCAGACCCTGGAAAGGTTTATACTGAAGTGAGAGGTTCAAATGGGGTTCAGGTACCCACACTTGCAGTGGCTTTACTCACCATTCCGCCCTCACTTCTTCATTCTGCCCATTGTAATTGTATTTTTCAGATTTCTCAGTCACTTCCATCCTTTCTTCCTGTTCCCTCCCTCCCTCCTTCCTTCCTTCCTTCTTTCTTCCTTTCTTCATTCTTTTTTCTCTCCTTCTTCCCCCTTCTTGCATTTATTTACCAAATTAAGCATAAATCTATTTACCATAAAGAACATTGTTTTTTTTAAAATCTATACCTCAAGAAATGCCTCTGAGGGACTGAGAACACGTGCATTCGCTCTCACTCCTGTTACTTATCTCTTCCTCTAGAAACTTTCAAAGTAATCACCCTTATTCACTATACTCACCATGCAGTGCAGGAGAGACCTAAATCTTCTCTGAGCTGAATTCAAAGATGCCGAGAGCAGAGGTAGCCAATGAACTGGGCTGGTAGTAGGTGGGGCATGGGAGAAGTTGGTGGAACAACATAGGATCTCAGTTGGATGGGCAGCAACTGGTTGGGAGGACCACTGCACATCTGCTCAATTTTCTAGAGGCAGAGAAGCTGCCTCTCAGCCTAAGCAGGCCAGGTGGGAAGCAAATCCAGAAATAAATGCCACCGTGGCTACACGGAGAGCAACCTTTAACTTCACATAAGGGGTAATGGCATGGAGCCCGTCGCTGATATTTCCAGGGATGCAATCAGTATCTTTAGGGAAATAAGTGTGTTCAAAATGAAAATTGCCTCCTGGAATGAAACAGGAGGTGGCCATCCCCTGGCTGTTGACACAGCAGAGCAGAGTGTCCAATCAGCAAGAGAGGTGTGGAGCCGGCAGCTTTAGTGTAGGAGTGAGTTCCTGCAATCAGCCCCATCTGCATACCTAGCTCCTCCCTCTGGGTCTTAGGCTCATATCCTCAGGACCCGTGCTCTTTTCCAGGGCTTAGGTTCATCTCCTAGACTTATCCCTGGGATTCCGGCGCTAGTCTGAGGTCACCAGTGCTGCAGAGCTCCTGTATGCGACTGGGCACACTGTGGGGCGAAGCGGGGAGTGTACATATAACCAGTACCCATTCCGCCGCGTGTACAAGATGTTGGGTCCAGATGCTTTCATTGTCATGGCTTTGTGTGACAAAATGGGGTTCCCAGGTACCCCATTCCAGTAGTTCCCTAAACCCATACCTTGAATGCCATCTCATAAATGGGTGTAGATGGGGTTCATGACACATGAGTATGTAGCTGATGGTATCTTGGGGGAGGAACCCTGGCTCGGGAAAACTCTGGCCTTGTGTTATGGGCAGTAACTGACCACAAGTCTGGGAGTTCTCTGGCATCTTGGGAGAGCCCAATAGATACGACGCACTGATCCATGTTCCCCCATCCAAGCACTCTAGGAAGTGTCCCCTAAACAGATATCTGCCAATCAGCCAATGGCTACCACTTCCTAATGACTCCTGTCTGGGTCACTCAATCTGTCCAATCTGTCAACTTGGCCCTGTGGGGAGGGTAGCTGTTCTCAGGTCTAACATGTACAAACTAGTGTTTTATACAAATGGCCACACATTTATAAGAATGACATTAGGACATCCATATTATTTTTCACCATGGACTTTTTAGTATGAGATTTTATTTTTAGCTCTGTGCGTGTGTGTGTGTGTGTGTGTGTGTGTGTGTGTGTGCGCGCAGAGAGGCTAGAAGAGTGTGTTGGATTCTCTGGAGTTGGAGTTTATGGATGGTTGTGAGCCTCCATGTGGATGCTGGGAAAAAAAAAAACTCTGGTCATAAGAGCAGCTACTTCCCTTAAAAACTGAACCATCTCTCCAGCCCCCTGAACTTTAGAATTATTTTTGATTCTTTAGAAATATTTTTAGTTACTATAAAAGGTAATGGGTTTCCATATATATTCTCCATATATATTATATATTTTCATATGTATTGTGCTATTATGTGTCATTATGCCTTTTCTTATCCAATCCCTCCCCCACTCTCCTCCCATCCATCCTCCTACATCCTGGTCCTCTTCTCCACTCCAAGTTGCCCTTCTTTTTGTCACACAGATTTCATCACCTTCTCTTATTCCCCTCCCTTTAGATCTCTTCTTCCCTCTTCATCCGCTGTCTACTCTCATGCGCTATACGCATGCACACATGCACATAATCTACTTGCAGACATGCACACATACATAGTTCATTGACAGACATGCATGTACACACATACTTCACTCACACACAGTATATTCACAGACACATACACACATAATCCATGCACACACAAATAAGATGTTCATAGACATACACACATAAATCACCCATGTATACATAGAATATAATCACAGATATATATGCACACACATATAGCCTACACACAAACTCTGAAGTCAGTTTCTCTGGACCCCAGATATTCTGTATAACAGTGTCGCAGGTTCTTCTTTTTGTGGCTTCTTCCATGTGTACATGGCCTTAAGCACACGCACACACATATACATAAATATGTGTAAATATACTCAACATGCACAAGGGCTTTTTGAGCCCTAGTTTGTTTTGTAGTAACAGCAGCTTCTTGCAGTCATTTGCCAAGATTCCTGGCAGTGCATTGTGAATCTCTCTGCCTGGAAATGTTGGGCCATGAAAGCAAGCCAACAGCCCTGGTAAAAAAGGCTTCCAAGGCTAAAGAATCTATTCCTTCTCTGCCCCAGATGTAGCTTCATCAGTGCCTCAGCATCTGTCTGTGAAGACGACCTTTCTACCTTGAGGTTCCTTTGGGAGATGAAGGGTCAGGACACCGGAGAAGCGCAGTGAGCAGCTAGCCCACGGCTACCCAGAACAAGGGTTGCGGAAGATTTAGATGCTGTATCCGTATTGCCAATGTCTGGGTGGCATCACAAAGTGTCTAGTCCCCTACCTTTAAAATAAAGCTGTCTCACAGCCGGTGACATGGCGTGGATCATGAGCCTGGAGTTGGTCTACTTGATCCTTGAATCACACGAGTGTTGACAGTGCCCAGTTGGTGTCTTCATAAACCACAGGCTAACTCACTCGGTGAAGACTGACGGCTGTCCTGAGACAGGGGTAACAGGAAATAAAACAGCTGAGGACCCACCCTCACGAGCCTGGCCACTGATGGAGGAGACCAACAGCAAAAGATGCAGAAATACTATCCAGGCATTGTGCTAAACAGTATTGGGTTGGAGTGACTTTGAGCAAGATGGCCTCCTGGAAAGGGACGGTGGAGCCTATTAAAAAGGGGGCATATATAACACTAAGTGCCAGCTTGTACAGGGCTGTCTGAACCTGCTCCGGGATGCCCATGATAGCCTCCCTAAGGGTGCTGCCTCAGTCCATAGCCTAGCCTGTCTTTTTCCAGGTGCTCCTAGGGCCATAAATTGCTAGACACCAGCAGTGATGGGCTAATGATTTGGTATTTAAGGGAGGAATCTGTGATATTTCCAGTGTGGCCTGTCATAATCTCCAGGCATAAATTCAGTGAGTGGATCTCAGGGACCTCGCTGCAAACTTGTGGCATGGGATGAAAGGGTATCAACCCCTGTGAAACCAGATCCCTGCTCAGGCTCCGGGACACAGGAGCAATTCTCTCGGGTTTGTTTGTCCCAGGGTTCCTGTTGATACCAAACTTGACTGAACTTATTACTATTTCACAAAGTTTCAGGGATAAAGCATCACTACTACTTAATGGCCCTGGAACTATGGCTCTACCAGTGGTCCTCTCTCCCCAGAGAATACCTGGCAATATCTGAGACCGTTAGACTGTGATATGTCGGATTGGGACCACTGACATCTAGGGATGCAGAAGATGCTCATAAGCATCCTACAAGACACATCTGACAGCTCTAGTCAGTAGGGATAAGTAAGGCACATGCCCAGTGTTGGGCAGACAGCAGTGTTCTGTGGGGTGTTGCTCATATCCGGAAAGTGTCCAGTGTGGCAACTTAGTGTGGAGGCTGGAGACAGACAGAGAGAGACCCTGCCCACACCTTTGCTTGGTCACTTGCCTTCCGAGTGACTGCAGGGAACCCAGCCACTCTGAGTCTCAGTATCCATGACTCATCTGTAGAGCTCCCAAGACCCACGTGACAAAGACAAGCCTCCAGGGTTAAAAAAGATAGGTGTGTGGGCAGAAGAGATAGATAGTGCTTGACTTGAAAGCATAGGTATCTTATTCAGACTCAGTTTCTCAGCGTTAGTACAGTTAACATTTAAGGTGTACCCATCGTTTGGCATAAAGGACTGTCACTGAGTCTTTCAGAGTATTGATATGCAACCCTGGCCTCTTCCACAGTATCTGCCAGCTGCAGTGTTCTACCCCATCCCCCAATCATGAACACCATGATTTCCAGAAGGGGCCAAAAGCTGGGACAGAGAAGACAAAGAGACAGCAGTGGGAATAGTAAGAGGCTGTGGCAATGAGCCTGCCCATGAGTTAAGGCTTTTACAGAGTCTAGAAGGGGTCTAGGATTCAAAAAAAAAAAAGAAAGCTTGTCCTGGGCTACAAATTGAAGATCTAGGTCATGTGTAAGCCACAGTGGTGTCTTCCGTAACTAATGGCATTTGCAAAGTCCCCATGTTCAAAGGCCATAACCATGTTCTGGAATGAAGTGAATGCTGAGCATGCTTTAAAGCTCACACCCCTCCCAACACACTGTAGCTCTGGCAGACACCATCTCCTCCCACTGGTCTCCTCCAGCCCTGCCCATATCTTCACCAAGTTCCTTCCTTCGGCTCACACTATTTTCCTGACCATCTGTCCCCTGCCTGAGCTCAGAAAGGCACAGCCTGTCCAAGCAGACTGGCCCGGGGTGGACCAAATGGACAAGGGCCAGAGCAGCCTTAGGAAGGGTTCCGGCATGCTGCTGGCCTGGCTGAAGTCCACATCCCGCTTGCCAGTCAGCGGCTCCTCTCCGTGCCTGCCTTCCCCTGCCACCTCAGCAATGGAAACAACGCAGAGAGCCGTGTGGCAGGAAGGCCAGCTGGGTCAAGGCCACCGTCTCATGTTAGAGTCTGTTAACGTGCAGGGTTGGAGCAGTCTGGGTGAGCGCTGAACTCATGGCTATAAATGGAATTCGTCCTCTCTGCTGTGGGCAAGCTGCCCTCCTCAGCAGGCCTCGGGGTTCTCATCTGCAAAATAGGATACTGCCTGTATGCCAAGCTCCCCTGAGGTTTCCGCAGCACTGGTGGGAGGGCATATTGCAAGTGGGAAATGAGATCTGGTTGCATGGGAGCCGTTGACATTCTATATGTACAGAGCTGGCTCATGAGTTCAGGGATGTCCAGGAGGCAATTTTGATTTCCCTGTGCCTGAATTCCACTCATCCACAGTGGAATTTCACCAAAATAGAAAGGAATTGGGCCAGGAGTCTGATTATTGAATTTGCTGCATTTGAAATGTGCATTATGTAATCTTATTTTGACAAGAAGGCCGAGCAGGGCTAAGGTTTGTGAGCCTCCCGCTAGCAGAGATGCGGAAGAAAACAGTTGGATATTCGAAGATAGGCTGCTATTAGAGATGGCATTTAAAGTATTGTCATTAATAATTATAATTAATAATAATTAATATTAATATTAATATTAATATTGTGCAACGACGGGCACAATAGGGATAGAAGATGCATAGCTGTATCACTTGAAGGAGTGATTCTCAGAGGGTTCCCAGGCTAGCATCACACAAGACCCTGTGAGATATGTGAGTATGGTCCCACCACAGTCTTCAAAAGTCAGAGGCTGGGATGGATACCACAGGCTGTGTATCCACAAACCCATAAAGGCCCTAGTGGCTAGATGAGAGTTTCCTAGACATCAACGACTGGCAGTGGGCACCTATGCTTTCTCCATGGAAACTGATTCACAGGGTCTCCCCCAGGAGGCAGGTAGTGTCATCAGAAAACACCAACCCCTGAGGGCAATCAAAATAAGACAATTGGCTATGTACCCCACAACCTAGCTTTTCCCCTCCAGGTCTCCATGGACAGGTGCCTAATGCTGGCCCGATTGCCCACCGAGCATTCAGTTCACGTGCACAGCCCACTAACGGAGATGAAAAGATTCTGAGAACCACAGCCAATGAGCTGGAAACATTCCTGCAGGGATCAGTTTCTTTTTGTAAGAGAACCTGTTCATTTTGTGCGGTACCCTCGTCCCCACTGCCAGCCGCTTAGGGCATGATTAATTCATCCGGAGACTTCCCCAGACACCGGCGACACCATCAGGAACAGAAGGGACGATGGCTCTGTCATGTGTAGCACCGTTGTACCTTTGGTGTCCCTCCTAATCATTTATATATTCTGGAGAGGCAAGGTTCCCACCCACCCGAGCTCAGAAAGGTAATAAATGAGGAAAGTCAATGGTCTGTAAATTACAACATTGATTAAAGATGTGATTAGTGATAGACTCTATGCTTGGCTATTATGCTAATATGTTCCCCGATCCGGGACAGCATTTACATGCTAATGATAAGTCTGGGACAATGACTGAAATTGCTTCCCATCCTCACACAGTGTGGAAACTGTTTCTAACCACTCTTGACCGGTGACTGAAAAGACCCCTTCCTGCGGCCCCTCCCAACTGCTCCATGCCAGTCCCCAGCAGATGGAGAGAATTCTCTCTGCCCAGCCCTCACCATCTGCCCCGCAAACAGAAGAGACAAAAGTGGGGCCCAGAGTAGCCATACCTGGTCCTTCCGCAGAAAGAGTAGGGTGACTGGTCACAACAGCTATTGCTCAGTACAGGGTGTTATGTGGTGGGGTCCAGATACCAAGGTGGGGCTCTGCTGTTTCCAGAGTACACTGTCTAGTAGGAGATAGATATGAAAATGACAGTTGGAGCTCAGTGTGGTGTCGTGTGGGTAACACCATTAGCTCAGAAATGGTTGCCGGACTGTACCTGTATGCAACTTGCCAGCACAAATCATCTCTAAGTAGATTCTCATTGCAGTCAATGGACCTAGAAAGGTTAAGAACTTGCTGGAAGTTTTCAGATTAAATTCTTACATATGCGCCACAGTTGCTTCTACCTCATCTTAGGGTCTCAATTGTTTTGGCTGTACCACCCTCACCCCACTCCAACCGCTCACCCCACTCCCACTTCTTGCTTCTCCCCCACCCCTCACCCCACACCCACCCCTCACCCTTCTTGAGGACAAGGCTTCTAAAAGAAGGAATGGAAGGAAAGGGGAGGGAAGGCAAAGGAAGGAGAGCAGACCCAGACAAAGGCAGGAAGTCACCCTGATATCCCACCCCACTCTCATGAGAACAGTGATAGTCCAAATGTAAAGATCCCAGAGTTCCTGGGTGGAGCAGCATCCCGGGGACTCTTGACATGCTCAGGCCAGGCAATCTGGGGTGGAAGTGTGTCCCTAGACCAAAGTCTGAGAACCACGGATGACCAATGGAACTGTGTAGGGGAGGAGTGCAGAGACTGTGAGAAAGCATGTGCTGGGAAGATGCCAGGCCCCTTGGCCATCTGGGGAGTGGAGCCACTTACCTTCTGAGCAGACATCAGCTTGCATGATGCTTCTGGAGGCTCCCACAGGCCCTGTGCACACCCAGACTTCAGCCTCGGCCGTGGTTCTCTGCAGATTCAAGTTCACCAGGAGCTTGAAAGCCCTTACCTCAGTTTGTTCTCTGCTTTCTTTCCCAGCAAAGGCAACCTCAGCCTGAGAACTGGGAACTGGAAGCTGGAAAATATCATGCCTCTTGCCCATGATATGGGCAATTATGGATGCTTTCACGAGGCACCCAGTAGCAGCCAGTGCACCTTTCCACGGGCCTCTCTCTTCCTCTGCATACCCGGGTCTGCTTTTGCACTCTTACTCTCTAGGTTCGGTTTCTCATTAAGCCAATGACACTGAATCCTTGTCGGGGGCTCTGCGCTGGAAGCAAGTCTGCTTCACAATAAAGTCGAACAAACTGGAGGCAGAGCAGATGGCTCAGTCTAGAAAGTACTAAGAAAAAGTGAGGACCCGAGTTTAGATTCCCTACACCCGTATGAAAACTGGGTGTGGTGGCACATTCCTGTAATCCCTGTTGTGAAGGGGCAAACACAACAGGACCTAGAGGTTTGCTGGCCAGCCAGCCTAGCTGAAATAAATGAGTTCTGGTTCCAAAAGGTGGAAAATGATACTGGAAATACCCAACATCATGTTTTTTTGCGCATGTGCTTACATGCTATATGTACCTACAGACACACATATACACAGTACATATATACACGTGCATGATACATATAACATGTATGTATGTATAACATACACACACATATATATACATACACAAAATACATAACACATAGTACATACATACACACATATATATACACGCATACATATATGCACATATATCCATACAAATGCACATACATGCACGCACACACATGTACACGTACACATGCATGCATTCTCTCTAAAAGAACTTAATGTGTGTTATCAACACAGCCATGTGACCTCCATCCCCACTCCCTCTCTCCTCTGTCTTCGCAGGTGTCAGACCACTGCGACTATGTCTTTGTCAATGGCAAAGAGATCAAGGGCAAGGTGGACTCCGTGGTGAATTTCACCTACCAGCACCTGAGCGCACCCCTGCATGTCACTGTATGGGTGCCCCGTCTTCCCCTGCAGATCGAGGTTTCTGACACAGAACTCAGCCAGGTTAAGGGCTGGCGGGTTCCCATCGTAGCCAGCAAGAGGTGAGCCGTGGGTGAGAAGATGTCCTCAGCCACAACAGCACCGATTGGATTTATAGATGCCATTGACAGGACCAGGGCAGGACCCAGGATGCAGTAGAAGCTGGTGTTCCCACAGCCATGATCTCCCTAACCCTGACAGCACACTCTTTGGAGGTCACAGTTCCAGGTTCCCTGGCAGAGTGGGATGATGTTCACCCTGGAACAGGGGCTTCCCATTGCAGAAAGCCACCGACCATTCCCCTGTGTGGATCACAGTTTTCCCCAAACAAGCACATCTCAGCTGAGTGAGGGCTGCCACCAAAACCCAGCATCTCACTCACACTTCTCCCTTACAGACTGTCAGGTGGTTCCCAGACAATTCCCCAGAACCCCTTCCTTTTGAAGAGTCAAGAAGAGTAACTAGTGTCCTAGGGAGATGACTCGATCAAGTGTTTGCTGTGTAAACAGAAGAACCTACGCTCCATCCCTAGACTGTGCATTAAAAGAAAATGCTGGGCATGGGCGGACAGGTGGGGCATTGATAATTCAACCAGCCTAGCCTAATCTGTGAGTTCTGAACCTAGAAGAGACTTTGTCTCAGAGGAAACAGAAAATGTCTGAGGATGACACCTGAGGTTGTCATTTGGCTCTACATACACACACGTGCACACACACACACACACACACACACACACACACACACACACAGTGGCTGCTTATGGGGCCATGTGAGCTTAGGAAATGGCAGCTTTCCTCCATTTGCCAGGCAATGCACTCAAGCCTCTGCATTGCCCAGAAATGGATGCCTGGCTCCCATGGGTACCCAAGACTCCCGTCTTGAGCATTGCCTTCTGAGACTGAGGCATACACCTGCCGTCTTGTGGTGCTCTATGCTTCTTCCCCCCACGTCTGAGACAGCACCTTTCCTCCCACACAGACCCACTCGGGACAGTGAAGAGGAAGAAGAAGAGGAGCAGAGAGGCCGGGGTTGTGCCCTGCAGTTCCAGCATGCCACGGTGCGCGTCCTCACCCAGTTTGTGTCGGAGGGTGCTGGGCCCTGGGGCCAGCTGAGCCACCTCCTCAGTCCAGACTGGCAGTTTGACATCACCCACCTGGTGGCTGACTTCATGAAGCTGGAGTCCCCGCACATAGCCACCCTGCAAGACAGCAGGGTCCTGGTTGGGCGGGAAGTTGGGATGACCACCATCCAGGTAGGAAGCAGGGACTCGGGCTCTGTGTCCTTGGCTGGTACCATTCTTCCTGGGACTAGGGGTTCCCTGGGGTAAGGCAGGTCACTGTGAATAGTTCATTGTCTCCAGGATGGCTCCACAGGGTGACATGGGAACAAGAATTGGCCTTGGGCCAGCCCTTCCATTTCCAGCCTTCTCTCACCCAAGGGAGCCCACCTCAAGGGCTGCACCCATGTTCCCACCAGCCCCACCTCCCACATAGTTCTCCAGACTGGCTTCTACCCCCTTGCATGAGACTTGCCTTTGCCCTGTGTATACTGCTGCTGCAAAGGCAAGGGTGAGCCTGGAATTTCCCTTCTCGCTTCGAGACTCCATTATCTTGTGCATTTAATTCAATACTATTTATAATATTGTATCACTCAAAAGAATGTAGAGGGTGGTTGGGTTTGGGTCAGATAACAGACAGGCATAGCTTTCCTCCACCCCTCAAGTCCCACTTGGCTTTTGCCACCCTTCTAGAATGTCCTGGAGGATGCTAACCCCATGGTAACTATTCTATCATTTCACCTGCACAGTTCCAGCCCAACCCTGGGCTTGTAGGATGAGACAGGGTGGCTTTCTACAGAGAGGCAGTGTGATGATGGAAGGCGGGGACTGGTAGAGTTCTGCTATCCCAGTCGATCCATAGTTGCCTTAGAATTTAATTCATGCTGCACCGAGTCGGTGTGCAGCTCTTCATGCATGCAGCCTGCGGGATCATCAAGTACACTTAACTAGGTTGTGCACCGTACGAATGGTCCGTTACCTAAAGGAAAGGGGCTGTTCCTTCTTAAAATGGAATGGATTTGTGATTATTTCTATTTACCAACAGAAGTAAAGTTTCAGGGAAGGGCTGCTCAAAAAAGGCTCAGCGTGGAGCCAATAACAGTGACAGATGCCTGTGCCTCCTTATGGTCTATGTTCAGAATCTCTGGCCCATCTAGAGGGGAGTAGGGGATCTTACCACGGGTTCCTATACCTGGAAATGAGCATGATGGCTCTTCTGTGCCCCCACTGTCTCCACAGGTGCTGTCCCCACTGTCCGACTCCATCTTGGCAGAGAAGACTATAACTGTGCTGGATGACAAAGTGTCCCTGACAGACTTGACTGTCCAGGTGGTGGCGGGGCTGTCTGTCACCCTGCACCCCATTGCAGAGAACAACAAGGCTACCACAGCTGTGGTCACAGCTGAGGAGCTGCTGCGTGCCCCCAAACAGGTAGGGGTTAGGTGGGACAGGGAGGCCATGGGGCTGGTTGAGCAGGGGAGTGGAGAAAGATGACTGACTGACAGCATCCTCCCGCTCCGACCCACGCCACAGTCCCACACCACACCACACTCCCTACCGTCCCCATATTCCCAAACCTCACAATGCTCCCGTGCCACACTCCACTACCACCATTCGACCCTCTTCCAAACTTCACCGAGCTCCCAACCCTCACCCCATTACCAAACCCAACCCAGTGCATCCTCTCACCCATTCCAAGCCCTTACCCAATGTCCAAACTTTAAGTCTGTTCCCACCCCTCACCCAGCTCCCACCCCTCACCAGCTCCCACCCCTCACCCTTTCAAAAACTTCTAACCCCTCCCCCACCACTCACCCCTTAACCAACCTCACTCCTCTCCCACCCTTCACCCAGCTCCCACCCCTCTACAAACTCCCACCCCTCACTCAGCTCACACCCCTCTTCCAGCTCACACCCCGCACTCAGCACCCCCCACGCAGCTCCCAATCCTCACCCAGGTCCCAACCCTCACCCAGTTGAAACCTCCACCCAGCTCCAACCCCTCACCCAAGTCATACCTTCCCCTGACCCTTCTCCCACCCCTCACCCAGATACCTCCCCTCACCCTTGTCCCACCCCTTACCCAGAGCCCTCCCTCACCCTTCTCCCACCCCTTACCCAGAGCCCTCCCTCACCCTTCTCCCACCCCTCACCCAGATCCCTCCCCTCACCCTTCTCCCACCCCTCACCCACACCCCACCTCACCCTCTTCCCACCCCTACCCAACACACACCCCTCATCTATCTCCCACACCATTCAGCTGCCACCCCTCATCCAGCTCACACACTGCACCTCTCTCCCACCCCTCACCCCTCACCCAGCTCCCACCCCTCACCCTTCTCCCACCCCTCACCCCTCATCCATCTCCCACCCTTCACACAACTTCCACTCCTCACCCAGCTCCCATCTGTCACCCATCCTTTAATCCTCACCCAACTCTCAACCCTCTCCCAGCATCCACCACTCCACCTGTTCACACTTTTCAACCAGGTCCCATCACTCACTCGGCTCCCACCCCTCTTCCAGATCTCACCCCTTAACCTGCTGCCACTCCCACCCACTCCAAGCCCTATAACACATAGCACCCCTCACACGACTCCCACTCCTCACTCACTTCGCACCCATCACACAGGTCCCACCCCTCACCCAGCTCACACACTGCACTTCTCTCCCAGTCTTCAACCAGCTCCCTCCCCACACCCAGGTCTCACCCCTCAGGCAACTTCCAACCCTCACACAGCTCCCACTCCTCATGCACCTCCCAATCCTTACCCAGCTCCCACCCCTCACCCAGCTCCCACCCCTCACCCTGCTCCC